TCAACACCATCAAAGGCTTGGTGGCCGATTACATACCGCATATACGATTTGTTGACATTCCGTATGAGGAATTATGCGACAAGTTTGTCTTGTACGATGAATTATTACCGGCAAAGTTACGACATGATATACTTTTTCATCATTTGCAAATTAGCAACGAGCCAGGAGGCGGCCGAAGCAATCTATCAATAAGGGGATACAAAAATAAGATACCACACGTCACACAAAGTCAACTCGCCGAGGCTGCGATGCAGAGACCAGTAAAGCAGAAACCAAATCTTTCGAGTGAAAACCGTCGGCCACGCCCAAAGAGAAAGCAAGGCAACGACATTACTCTGGATAAACTTTACACCTTTTCTTAACCTGTGTAAACCGATTGCAACTGAAGTTATCGGTATTAAGTGACGCTAGTGCTGATATAGTAGGAATATGTTAGTTTTGTTTTAACGTAAATAGATATTATTTTACCAATCTTAAATTTTGTAAAAACGTGGTTGATGATGAATAAAGATTTGTTTTATTGTGTCCGCTTTAACGTTCATTTTAGTTTTGTCAAATGAATCGATTTAGTCATGCACCACTAGCCGTGCGTGTAACGATTAATATTACACGTAATGTTACTAGACAGTTACATTGTTTATGGATAGCCATTTAGCCGAGATTTTGTGTATAACCATTCACATAAAGTGTCTAGTAAAGTTGTTTGAAGTTGCTTCTATAGTCGAATCTTCGAATGCAAAGTTTTTGACTAATATGCGATGGAATGCGTCGTAGCGCATTTGTATATATAAGCGCAACTATTAACGTACTCATATAAGACATACGCAAAAATTAAGAGACGCACCCATGATGTTTGTTAATAGCATTTTAGTTTTTGATTGCACGATTTTAGACACTTGACGGACTCAACAGATAATATTGACGCAATCTTCCGTAATTTCACAAACGATGCAAACAAAAGAAATGGAACGGCAAGAAATATGAACCGAGATTACTTAATTTCTTGTCACCTTTACAGTATTAACAATTTCTTTATTTATCGAATTCTCTTGTCGATAATTAGCTATAAAGAGTAGCTTAAAAACGATAGCAGAACATCATCTTCAGCTGAACCTTCAGTTCTCAATAATAAATTTCAATAGAATAGCTTTTTATATTTTAATAACCTGTATTAAAAAATATATTTATTTCGTTCGTTATTGTTAATTATGTTATAAGATCAAACGCCGATATAGTCTCAGATACTATTGAGATACAAAACGTATTCTCCAACCGCACGTTTTTTGAGTTACACTCACCCTTAACCTCGGAGCTATCTTTCAATAGTTCATAAGAATTTTCATCCTCTATATATAACAATTGTATAGTTTTGAATAGGGAACATATTTACTTTTGCTCTTCTTCTTTATTTCAACCATGTTTTTTTAGAAAATCATTGACGACTTTTC